TATATTTTATTCAAAAATAAAAACATCATCGATTTCTCAAAATCACATAAAGYCAKATTATAACATCGACTGAGATAAAGAATAAAATAAAATATTAAAATCACGATGTATCTCGCTGCATTGCGCGAGTACGCTTCTAGTTAAAATATAACATATATACATAAAAATATATATATTTATTAATAATTTGTATTAATTAAAATATAGTATAAATAAAAAGAAAAAAAAATCAATAATTTATATTAATTAAAATTTCTTTAAAATAATTTAAAATAACAATAAGACAAAAAATAATAATAACAAAAAGATAAAAAAAAAACACTAAAAACCATAAAAATAATAATAACTAAAATAGGATTAGGGGTGCCATTAGCCTTTCCCTTAGAGTATCTTCAACCAAGCCATTAAAAATATTCATAAATGATGTACCAAACACTAAAATAAATAAACTCTAACTACACACTAAAAAACATATTTTAAATATTAAATAAATATTTTTGTTTCTTGAATAAAATTTAAATTATTTAAATGTAATTTATAATTTTTTTTGATAGAATGTAATTTACAGTTTAAAAACACAAAATAAATTACTAAACTTAATACAAAGTATCAATCAATAGGTATAATAATTATAAAAATTAATATAATAATAATAATTGAAATGTAGAGACCAACATTTTTAACCTCGATGACAACTTTACTGATTTAATTTTTTTTATTAATCTAGATTAGAGATGGCCATTTGTAACCGGCCCGGCCCGTAACCGACGGAGGCCCGGAATCGAGCCCGACTCATAACCGTAACCGACCGGGACCGCCATAACCGGTTAAGGACCGGCGGTTACGAACCGGTTAGAGGATTTTACGATTTTTTGGACCGGAACCGGTTACGCAACCGGTTATGGGCCCGGCCCGGTCAACGAAAAAGTCAAAGTTACCGTTAAAAAGTCAAAGTTACCGTTAGAAAGTCAAACTAGCCGTTAGTTATCGTTAGTTACCGTTATGACCGTTTTTTTCATCTTCTTAGCTACCAAAACATGTATAAATAGAGATGGAAGTTCCTTAGGTAGTTACCAACATTTTTCATCTTCAAAAACGCAAAAAAACGCTCTCAATTCTCGGTTTTTCGCTTCATTTGTTGAATTCGTTACGTATTAATTTCTCGTTTCCACTTCATAATTCTCGTTTATTTCTATCTTTTACCTACGATTTACAAAATGGCCGATGAACAACCCTCAAACGAACAAATTGCCCAAGTTCTCGCCGAACACGGACGAAAGTCCGAGATTTGGAATCACTACAACTTGGTGATTCTCACGACCGGGAAACGAAAGGCACAATGCAAAATGTGTCAAACTCTCCTTACGGCGGAAGAAAATTTTACGTTAAGGAGGCACACCGAAAAAACGTGCCCGGGGAACCGGTCGGCGGGTGATTCGAGTTCGAGCCAACCGATACTTGACACACAAGGTCAAATATGGAACTACGATGCCGATTTAAACCGACAAATGACTACACAATGTGTCATTCAAGTCGGTTTGCCTTTTGGACACTTCGACAACCCTCACGTTACGAAAATTATTCAAAAGACGCTACAACCACGATATAGGCCGGTAAGTCGTCAAACCCTTAGACGTGATGCTATAAAAATGTGGACAATTGCCAAAGACGAGATGCAACAAATGTTTTCTTCTTTGCCTAACAATATTTCTTTAACGTGTGATGTATGGAGCGCACCATACGGATTGCCGGTTTCTTATATATGCATAACGGCACATTGGGTTGACCCTAACACATGGCAATTATTCAAACGTGTAATCGCGTTTGAACCGTTCGGTGCGCCACATTCGGGTGCACGTCAATATTCGATTATTAAAAAGAACCTTGTATTTTATAATTTAACCTAAAAAATAATTAGTATTTCGTTTGATAACGCAAGTAATAACAATGCTTGTGTGGAAAAATTAAAGTGTCATTTGACACCTATTTTAGACGGAAAATTATTTCATACACGTWGTTGTGCCCATATAATTAATTTAGCCGTTCAAGACGGTTTAAATACTTGTAAACCCGTAATAGATAAGTTTAGACTTATGTTGCGGCGAATTTTCACTAAAGGTAAAAAAATGCATGCGGCCTATAGAAGGTATTGTCAAGACGTCGGTTTTAGAGCTTTGGGACCGAACCACGATATGC